ACCCAGAATTCCATCTAGATACAGAAGTATCTAGAGTAAAACAAACCCACAAGACAGATATAAGGAATCAAAGATATCAATTTATAATGAATACAACTACAGAGCAAAAATAGGGAAAAGTATAGTTATAAATACTAAATGGCAAGGTAGTCAAGTAGATTTTAAAATAAAACAAACTGTGTTAAATTGGGGAAGAGATTAATAAATTACCAGCTAACCTCAAAATATTTAGTACACTTTTACATCAAATCAAGAAAAGGAAAAACCATGAAGATTTTGTAAACATTAAAACTAAGAAGAAGTTGACAAGAAAATGCACACACACACACAAAATGAACTCAGCATAGGAAAATATGTGAAACAAACAAACCACAGAAACCCACATAACAGAAATGACAGCAATCAACTTATATCTATCAATGATTATGCTATCCATGGATTAAATGCAAAATTCAAAAGACAGAGAGTAGCAAAATAGATAAGAAAACAAGATCCTTCAATATGTTCTTTGCAAGAGACACACCTTACACCTGAAGACATATAGAGATTAAAAATTAAAGGATGGTCTCACATCAGCAATAACAGCAAAGTTCAAAAAAGAAGAGGACAATAAATGCTGGTGAGGATGTGGAGAGACTGGGACCCTCCTACATTGCTGGTGGGATTGCAAAATGGTCCAACAACTCTAGAAAACATTATGGCACTTCCTCAGAAAGTTGGAAATAGAAATACCTTATGATCTAGCAATCCTGTTGTTGTTAAGTGCCGTCGAGTCGGTTCCAACCCATAGCGACCCTGTACAGGGTTTCTGCGGGTGTAAATCCTTAAGGGAGTAGAAAGCCTCATCTTTCTCCCACGGAGCGGCTGGTAGTTTCGAACCGCTGACCTTAAGGTTCGCAGCCCAATGCGTAACCACTACACTACCAGAGCTCCTACTACATGGTATTTATCCACAAGAAAGATAAGCCATATCACGAGTAGATATGTGCACACCAATGTTCATAGAAGCACTATTTACAATAGCAAAAAAATAGAGACAGCCTATATGCCCATCAATGGAAGAATATATAAACAAACTTTGGTACACACAACAACACAATGGAATATTACATTATCTTGAAGAATAACAAGGAAGCTGCAAGCCACCACATAACATGGATGAATCTTGAAGACATTATGCTGAGTAAAAGTAGTCAGTCACAAAAGAAGAAATAATGCATAGGACCATTATTATAAAAGCTTAAGAAAAAAATACCTATACTCAAAAGGAAAAAAAGAAAAATACTTTTCTGTTTACCTGGATGTAGGGAGTGGGGTGAAGGGAGGGAGGGGAAGGTGGAGCACAGGATAGGGAATTATAATTTGGGTGTTGGGATGCAATACACAAGAAAGGGGAGGGGAATGGAAGAAACAAGGTGGATGGGAGAACATTTAGGCAGGTTTGCATGGCCTAAGTGGAACAGAGGTAAATAGTGATTTATTCTATAACTTGGAATAACCAGGTTCTGGGATACAGGGATTGAATGGGTAGAAGAGGGGAAATAATATTATGATGCATGACTGTCTTATGAATCTTGGTTTCCCTAGCCTGCTATTATAAAATAGGCACTTGAGTGGGAGAGAAAGGAATAGCCATAAACATCACTATAGAAAGCTTGTGAGCCCATCTTCATCCTATAACTGATTGCAATACCTAAAATGGAGCTAGAACTTGGCTTAATGAAAGAGGCTTCCTGAGGAGTGTTTGCTTTGCACAAGACCATAGATGGAATCCTGTCTTCTGAGGTGGGAAATTTCCACTTGAAAAGACAAGTGGACCAGCCTAGAGCAGCTAGAGGAACAGAAGATACTTCTTGAAAGAAAGACCAGCAGGAAAAATCAAAAACAATAAGAGCAATTTAATTGACTACTACAAGAACAAGTGAGTTGTTCACTGGGGAGCCATCAAGATAAGCAATCAAGTCACCTCAGGGCAAACCCCCCCTCCAAGATTTATGCTCAAAGGGACAACACAATCAGGCATATAATCTTGCTGGTGACCATGCTGGTCTACAGATAAGGGAAAGTGGGGGAAAACAGCAATGAAGTTGTGAGCTAAGTCCGACCATGTTCAATAGACTCCTGTCAACTTGGATAGCGACCTGGTTGGCCAGTAGTAGTGAGATCTAGGGACTCCTGAGCCCAGGGACAGGGATAGTCAGAGAGGACGAGAGTGGAGTGAATAGTCCAGCTGACATGAAGTGAGGGGAGATGCACAAGACCGCTCATGCTTGCAGATACTTCCCATTTGACCTAGCTTCAATGACTGGATGATCAGAACTTGACTAGAGAAAGAAAGAAGAGGGAAAAAAAGTGTAATCTGCTCAAATTTGATGAATTTGACCTATACTTATGGATGTAGTAGCTTAAAAGAGGGAATGAATCTTTACAGCAAGGATCATTCCCACCCCCTCGGTACACAGTGTTGACAGGGATGGGCAATTTAGACATTGACTACCCAAAATGGCAGAACTACAAAGACACGAAGTGACTGGCTTACAAGTTTTCAAGAGGGAGCTTAATTTCAGAGGTTGCAGGGGAAGATAGAATCTCCACTGAGTGGTTTCCAACCTGCCTAGACAGTGCTGGTGAAAGGAGATGGGGATAAGACTCTTGTGGTTCAATAGTAGATAATTGCTATCAGGACTGATTGAGAATGTTGCAAATGTAAAGGTAGACATTTGGTAAGAAAAGGAAGAGAGTGGCTGATCTTGCTGTCCAGGAGCGGAAGAACCTGGGACCATCAAGGGAGAGAAGCTGAGTGCAGGCCCCTATCCAGAGAAGCAGCAAGACTTGAGATGGAGGCAAAGACGATGATGTGGAGGGACGGAGTGGCTGGGGACTCTAGACTCAAGGAGGGAGAGGGGCTGTGTACTGGTGGCCGGGGGCCTGGCTTGTAGGGGTATACCTTTTGGTTGTTTTAATGGTTATATATTCCTGAGTGGTTCGATATACATACAAAAAAATGAAAAATAAACAGAGGGCTTGGAAGCAAATGCGGCTGAATTATGATGCATGGAGGGGATTCTAATAATTGAAAATGAAACAAAATACGATAGGAAGGTTGAATTTTATAAAGCTGATGCTCTCCATGTAAACTATCACTCAATTCACAATAAAAAGTTTTTACAAAATTAAAGGATGAAAAAAAAATGTATCAAGCTAATGACAATATAAAACAATCAAGAGTAGTAATTTTAATCTGTGATAACAAAGGCAAAACCAACATAAGAGACAAGGAGGGACATTGTTTCATGATTAAAGGGTCAGTGGAACAAGAGGATATAACCATAATAAATAACTATGCTTCCAAGTAAAGAATCACAAAACACACAAACCAAATCTTAATAGAATTAAAGAAAGATATGGGTAACTCTACAATCATAGTAGGAGATTTTAATACACTACTTTTGAAAATTGACCCAACAATCAGGAAGAAAATCAACAAAGACACAGAGGAACTAAACAACACAATCAATCAATTTGACGTCATAGAGAGCACTTATTCCAACAACAGCACAATACACTTTCTTTTCCAGTGCATATGGAACATTTTTCAGAATAGATCATGTTAGGCCACAGAGGAAGTCTCAATAAATTTAAAGACATCAAAATACTGCAAAGAATCTCCACAGAATCATGATGCTATAAAATTAGAAATCAACAATAGGAAGAACAAGGAAAGAAAATCAAATGCATGGAAACTGAATAACATCTGCTTCAAAGTCACTGGGTAATAAAACAAATGAAAAAACGAAATAATCATTGCTGCCTTGGATTAGGGTAACAATCTCTTAAATAATTTGTGGCCTATCCAGTGCACTTGTCTTCACTCTAGGTGAGTTGACCTCACCTTCTCCACGTATTTGCCCATTTGTCTTTTACTTATGACTCACTACATAATCTGCAAGACCGAGTGTAAAATGAAAGTACAAGGGTCCTTATTAAAATACTACTAATAAATAGGTTTTTAAAAATGGAGCATTAATCCAAGGGTGACACTTTCTGAAGTTCAGAATGTTATTAATAACTGTAAGGCTGCACACCCAGAAAGCCAGCCATTCCTTGATGACATTGAGTTTATCTCATTGCTCTCCAGGTACATGAGAAATTTTCGTATGTATTTATGTTTTTACAATAGTTCTCTCTTTTCGTTATTCCTCATATCTAACTGGAAACCTCTTCCTCATCATTTAATATTCAGACTTTTATTCCACCTTAGATGAAACCTGTCACTGTGTCCTATGTGTTTTCAGAGCCCTTGCACTTGTATTTTCCTGAGCAATTATTATGTTGTATTGGAATGGGTTATCTTCTTTTCTGTTAATCAAGATTTTTAATCTGTTTTGTATATTACCTACCATTTGATTATGGAGATAAAGCAGACAGGAAAGGAAAAAGGAAGAAAAGAAGGTGTAGAATAAAAAGAATAAAGGAAAGTAAGTGAAAACAACATGATAAATTTTTATCCTTTATGTTGTTAAGGAGCTCTGGTAGAGTAGTGGTTATGAATCGGGCTGTGAACCTCAGGGTCAGCAGTTCGAAACTACCAGCTGCTCCGTGGGAGAAAGATGAGACTTTCTGCTCCTGTAAAGATTTACAGCCTCAGAAACCCTGCACAGGGTCGCTATGAGTCGGAACCGACTCCACGGCACATAACAACAACAAAACAACATGTTGTTGTTGTTAAGTGCCTTCAGGTCGTTTCTGACTCATAGTGACCCTATATAGGGTTTTCAAGGAGCAGCTGGTCATTTTGAACCTTTGACGTAGCAACCCAATACTTATCCTACAGAACCACAAAAGAACTCCTTTCTCCTCTATATTGTGCTTAAAATGAAATTGTGGAGTGATAATCATTTTACATATGTAAATACTGACCAACAAAAACTCTATTTCAATCAAGAAATGTTGTATTTGCAAAGTTGTAGACATTCATTTTTATAAATGTATAATTTTACCTGTTCAAATTGCAAAATGTCACAGCAGGGAACTCCATCTTTTCCACATATTGAACTTCAACAGATGTTGTGGTTGGCCAAGTGAGGTAGTTGACAAAGCGACTGTATATCTGCCACACAACGAGTGAGACTGAGCCTAGGACCACCACCAACCAGATCAGCTTCCGAATTTTGCTGCGGTTCCGAACGATATTGTGTATCCCATGAAATGAGGTGGAGAGAGCAAAGTCGTAGTCAAATTTCTTTCTGTCAGTAGGAGATGGTACTGGTTTCTTATAAAGGCAAAGCTTTATATTTTCCAAGAGTCCTTAAGGATTTGTCCACAAAATAAATAAACAAAAATAGCAATGAGTTGGGAAAACCTAACTCTATTTGCCTAAAACTTAACTTACACAGATTACTTCTTATATGTATGATATATTGTTGTTGTTAAGTACCATGGAGTCGGTTCTGACTCAATGACGCTGCACAGGGTTTCCGAGGCTGTGAATTTTTACGTGAGCAAAACGCCTCATCTTTCTCCAGTGAAACCACTGGTAGTTTTGAACTGCTGACCTTGAGGTTGGCTGCCCTACCACTACGCTACCAGAGTCCCTATATGTATAATATACAAAGACTCAAATTCGTTGTGAGTTGGGTAGTTTACTTAGGAATCAAGAAGTATACATTTTACTTCATAACTCTGGAAAAAATACTATGTTATTCAAAACATGTATGTTGTTATTGTGTGCTGTCGAGTTAATTCTGAATCATGTTACCCTAACACTAGACTGCAAGTTTGATTTGAACTGTAAGTTCGGCACTTCAAACCCACCAACAATTGTTGCTCCTCAACAATCCTATACAAGGTAGCTATGAGTTGGAAACAACTTGAAGGCACTTAACAACAACGGTAACATAGGGTTTCCAGGGAGTGAGTGGTGGGTTTGAACCTCCAACCTTGTGGTTAGCAGACCAGTGCTTATCCTACCCTGCCACACCAGGACTTCAATATATCTTTCAGGTGAGATTATTTATTTTTAAGGTAAATGTGTTAATGCCATCATATAAACATGTTGTTACTTCACAATCTCTTAATCTTTAGAAAATTAACTCTAATTTTTAAGATACTCTTTGATCCTGAAGTATCACAAAATCTCTTTGATATCATGAATAACATCAGACTTATTCTTCAGAAAATAATAAATGGGACTAAGAAGCAATCTTTTCTTCAAACAATCTCAGTCCTATAGCATTCTATTTTACAACTCAATGTAACTTTCAAAACTTTATGTGCTTTGAAACCCAAGTCATTTTTTATTTCTACTAGTTATTTACTTAGACTGTTTATATCTCATTAGTAATTTAATGACCTGTTTTCTATCTCCTAGAAAAGTGAACAATTTTTAAGACAATAATCAATGAAATACTGTTTGTTGATATTAATTGGCAAGGAACAGAAAGGATGGCTGTTGAAATTTTTAAGGCAATATATGACATGTTATGATTTTTTTTTTTTTTTAATTTTATCCATCAGAAGAGATACGGAACAACTCTTTGCAGAAGGAAGACTGCAATACATTAAAGAAAATCAGATGATCTTTGGAATGGAGGAATGACCTTGTTTCCAGTCCCGGAAATCTTGGCAGCCTCTTCTAAACTTCTTAATCTAATACTTCATTCCTTTTCTTTCTATAGCAGAAGCACCAGCCTTAGTATTTGCTTCCTGAGTTAATTGTGGGTATTAAATGAAACAGCATTACCTTGATCATGATAAATACGTAATACTTATATTTCTGATATAGTTGTGGTGTGGTAAACAGCAAAGGTTCAAGGGCCTTTAAAGACTACTTAAAATTCCGAGTTTTTAATGATGTCATAAATTCTTATAACTAAATGAATTAGGTTTTTATCTCCTTTGCTTTACTTCAAAAAGTATTTTTGGTCAATTAACCACTATCAATTTATTTCAAGCTCATTTATCATTAACTCATTTTTAAATACTTCATCATATCTCCAATCACATTATAACTAAGCTTATTAAAATTTATAGAGTATGTATGATTTAGAAAAGGTATTGATGAACACTTTCTAAAGTACTAGGACATAACTTCAAATTATGTTATGTTTGTTTTACAAAACCAATGTTTTAAGTTAAAAAAAAAAAAGTTAATTTAATTAGCTTAAAGTTAGACTAACATTTTATACCAGCAGTGACATAATTTTCTTTTTACTATCAAATAAAGGAAAATATGTAAAGTAATTGGTATAATCCCACAGGAAAATAAATAGTTAAAACAACGCTATTTCAAGACTTTTTAGGTAGTCTAAAAAATACATTATTTTGTATATTATTTAGACATTATTTATAAAACTGTGAAAAATTCACTGTAGCAAAAAGCATCTCTGGGCAACTCTTATAAGTCATTTCTACTATAGGGAAACAAGCAGTGAAAAGAACAATGATCATGTAGTAGCCCGTTACTGGATCAATAAAAGTATTAATTCCTATAAATATTTTATTAAGAAATGTATTTCAAGTTTACCTGTTAAAAATCATTGCCCACGTAATATAGATCAATTGCTTTAACTTTGCTGGAATATTCTAAGCCATTAACTAGATTTTAATACAATTTGTTATTTTAGATGAATAGTGAAGAAACAAAGCAATATGTTATTATGAGGAGGATTAGATTTGTTTTAACAAATGGCTTTCCAGCCTGCAAAGAAAGAAATATTTGCTTTCCTGACTGTGATTATGGCAAGTCGCTCTTACATTAATTAAATGCCGACCTTCTTGGCTACATTTTGAGGGACATCAAACCAGTTTTACTGCATTCTAAAAATTCATCCTGCAATTATACCACAAATAGTAACTAAAAGCACAATCTAAACAGAGATTCTAGCAAGGAGTGATATTTTTAAAGCAATTTGGTCTCCCTTATCCAAAATACTATTATCCCAAGTAATCAAAATTGGATTGTATATATTTATACTTACATTATGCACAAGTAAGATAGGAAATACTATTTCCCACATGAAAAAAAAAAATTCCCCTTTTCTTTGCTAAACTCGTCTCTAAACATGAAAATTGTTTTGAGGATTTTACTTCTTACCCACCTTTCTCAGCATATACGTTTGAATTTTCAATCTGCTCCATTCCACATTTCAGTAAGCAAGACTCCTCAGGGTATATCCACTTTACATTAGTAACCATAGTCTTTTTGTGGCCTTTATATAAAATACGACAGTTGAGGTAATAAGACATAAGGGCAATTAAAATGTTTGTGTTGCCATGTTTTGCCTCATAAAGTACCTAATCTGCAAAGTAAGAATGCTGGACTTATGATGGCTCACATAGAGTACAAAACAGAGAATCATCAGGAAATTATGTTCTCAGATATCCTATAAAATTTGTATGGCTATATGGCTGTAGAGGGGTCCCTGACGAGCCAGCTGACACTCATGGGTAACCCAAGAAGAAAAAAGTCTAGCTTATATCTTTGTTTCACTCTAAATCAAAGTGCAGTTGCCATAAAATGCTAGTGGTAAAGGCATTTTTTTTCTTTTCTGAAGTTGTTTTTTCAGTAACAGATGAAGCTACTTCTAACAGAAATAATATCCAATAAAAGGAAAACAAAATGTCAGAAAACATCTCCTCAGGAAGAAGTAATTACTGAAAACATATACATTTAATACAGCACAAAGGCTAATTATTTGCTTTATTAACAGTTTTGAGAAAATATTAAAGTATATTATATTAAACTACAGACTATGTGTTATATGTATAAATGGTGCCATCTGTTGACAGCAGTGAGGAATTGCATGTATCTCCACTTAACTGGAATCTCTGGGATTTGCCATTGTAATATTTTATACATATTCAACCAGCAAACATTCATATGGAAGTACTGTGGCTAGACTGCTAACAACAAAGTGGGAGATTTTAACCCACTGGCTTCTCTGAGGGAGAAAGATGAGACTTTCTGATCCCCTAAAGATTTGCACAAGGCCAGCAGTTCAAATTCATCATCTTCTCCTTGGAAACTTAATATAGGGTGCTATGAGTAGGAACCCACTCCATGGCACTTAACTATAACAACAAAGATTTGCATAGAGGGAGTCCTGGTGTGGCACTGTGGGATATCCAAGCCCTGTACTGCTAACCAAAAGATTGGTGATTCAAACCCAACAGCAGCTCCTCTGAAACCCTACACAAGGTCTTCATGGAACCAACTCAACAGCACTTAACAACAATAACTGAACATATGATCAAGAACTCATGGTGTTGAAGAAGTCCAAACTGCACTTAAGGTATTGGCGAAAAACAAGACTCCAGGAACTGATGGGAAACAAATTTAAATCTTTCAACAAACTGAGGCAGCACTGGAAGTACTCACTCATCTATGTCAAGAAATTTTAAACACAGCTACCTGGCCAACCAAGGAGCTCTGGTAGTGTAGTGGTTACAAATCGGGCTGCAAACCACAAGGTCAGCAGTTCGAAACTACCAGCTGCTCCGCGGGAGAAAGATGAGACTTTCTGCTCCCGTAAAGATTAACAGCCTCGGAAACCCTGTGCAGGGTCGCTATGAGTCGGAACCGACTCCACAGCACATAACAACAACAACAACAACCTGGCCAACCAATTGGAAGAGATCCATATTTATACATAGTCCAAAGAGAGATGCCCCAATACAATGAGGAAATCATTGAACTAGATTATTAATATCACATGCAAGTAAAATTTTGCTAAAAGGTAACTTAAAAACAGTGGCAATTGTACATCAACAGGGATCTGCCAGAAATTCAAACCTGATTCAGAAGAGGACATGGAACTATGGATATGTATCATTGTTGATGTCATATGGATCTTGGATGAAAGCAGATCATACCAGAAAGATGTTTTTTTATGCTTTATTGACTATGCAAAGACTTTATACTTTGTGGATCATGCTACGCTATGGATAACATTGCAAAGGATGGGTATTCCAGAATACTAAATTTCGCCTGGACATAGACCAAAAGGCAGTCATCTGAACACAGCAAGCGCCCACTGAATGGTTTAAAATCAGGAAATGTATGCTCCAGGGTTGTATTCTTTCATCATACTTATTCAATTTATATGCTGAGCTAATAATCTGAGTAGATGATCTATGTAAAGAAGAATGTGGCATCAGGATGAAGGAAGACTCATTAATAACCTGTAATATGCACAGGTTAATACAGCTAATACAACCTTGATTGCTGAAAGCAAAAAGTACCTAAAATACTTACTGATGAAGACCAAAGACCACAGCCTTCAGTGTGGATTTCACCTTAATGTAAAGAAAACAAAAACAAAAACAAAAAAACCCTCACAACTGGAACAATAAATAACATCATGAAAAATGGAGAAAAGATTAAAGTTGTCAAATGCTTTATTTTGGTTGCACTTACAATCAACACTCATGGAAGCAGCAATCACAAAATCAAAGGACATAACGCTTTAGGCAAATCTGCTGCGCATGACCTCTTTAAAGGGATCAAGAGCAAAGATATCTGTTTGATGACTAAGGTACACCTGACCCAAGCCATGTATGTATAAGTTGGACAGTGAATAAGGAAGACAGTAGAATTGATGTGTTTGAATTATATAATGTGTTTGAATTGGAGAAAAATATTAAAAGTCCAGAAGAACAAACAAATCTGTGTTGAAATATATACAGTCAGAATGCGTCTTAGAAGCAACGATACTAAGACTTCCTTTCTCATACTTTGGACATGTTATCAGAAGAAACAGTACCTGGAGTCGAAGGACATCGTGCTTGGTAAAATGGAGGATTGGAGAAAGAGGAAGACTACCACTAAGATGGATTGGCACAATGACAGCAGCATTGAGCTCAAGCATCACAGCATTTGTAAGGATGGCAAAGTAATGGGCAGTGTTTGGTTCTGTTGTACATAGGGTCTCTATGAGTCCAAACCAGCTCAATTGCTGCAACAACAATGGACATAAACTAAGGCACTTCCAGTGTTTTAAAAGGTAGGATTCTGGGAAGACTTCCCAAAATCAAACTAAAGATTTCAGGAAGAGAATAAACCTGTTGACGAATAAATTTCTCCAATAAAATTATTTTCTTTTTGGTTAAATTACAACTTCAGGTGTGGTGGTCGGTGGTGATTTTGTGCCATGAAGTTGATTCTTACTCATAGCAACCCTGTATAGAGTTTCTGAGGTTGTAATATCTATTGAACAGAAAGTCTCATTTTTCTTCTGTGGACTGACCTTTAGGTTATCAGTCCAACTTTTAGCCCACTCTGTCTGGAGTGAGAAACATGTGGCCCATGGGCCCAAGGAAAATGCAGGCAGGCCTCAAAATTCAATAAATCTAAGAGCTTTTTTTTTTTTTTATAGCAACATGAATTTATATTAAGTAAATCATAAAAATAACATAAATTTTGAGGGACAAGTAAAGAATGTCCAGTATTGAACAGACAGGACACATACGAATATATGACTGGACAGACATATATGCTTTTTGCTTTCATTCATGAAATCATTTGAAGCTAAATTAAAGTTGTGAAAAGTGCAACTCAAAAGGAAAGATAAAAAGTCTTCTACAACACTTGTATATGCTGGTGAATATGCAAAAATAATTAATGAAAGATTCAAGGATGTGAAAAGTAAACAATGGAACTAAACAACTTTGCTACACCATTCACTATGCAACCAGCTGATGTGCCTGATAACTTACAACATTATATCATTCAACTACAAAGCAATGATGAATTGAAAACTAAGTACAATAACCTCACACTGCTTGAGCTCCATAAACGTCACATAAGCAATGATGGATTTCCCATTTTGAGGAGGTGTACATTGAAATATGTATACATGTTCAAAACAACTTACTGCTGTGAACAATTCTTTTCAAAACTTACCATTGCAAAGAGTTGACTGCATTCCAGACTGACCGACACAAACATGGAAACACCGTTACATGTAGCAATATCATCATCAGATAACATGACACGCCTCACCAAAAAGAAGCCATTCCAGTCATCACATTGTTGTTGTTGTTAAGTGCCATCAAGTTCATTCCAACTCATAGCAACCCTGTATAGGGTTTCAAGGAGCGGTGACTGGTGAGTTTGAACCACCAACCTTGCAGTTCAAATGGACCTTAAGGTCCAGGACTTATCTTATGGCACCAAACCAGGACTCCACAGTCATCACATTGTTGTTGTTGTTAAGTGCCGTCGAGTCGGTTCAGTCATCACATTAGGGGTGAATTATTAAATGCTTGACCATATATGGCAGGTTAGTTTTTAAGTTGATAATTTTATATGGTCCGAGAATGATGTTATAAACATCCAAATGACCCTTGGCAGAAAACTGGTTCCCTGCTTCTGCACTATGCCATCAAGAATCCTGCTATAGTGTTTTGAAATTCCAGTATTTCTGAAAGGAATCGCTTCTAACTTAAACTATTCACCTTCTTACCTTGATTTTATTCTTCCTTTGATCTGTATCTGGGAAATCCATATGATGTTCATAGATAATTATCCATGTGCTAGTAGGTCAACAAACAGCAACAAGGCATTGCTATCAAGTTCATTCCACCTCACAGAGTCCCCATGTGTTTCAGAGTGGAACTTTACTCCTTAGGGTTTTCAATGACTGGCTTTTCTAAAGCAGATAGTCAGACCTGTCTTCTGAGGTATACTTGAAATCAATAGCCTTTACGTTACTTGCCAAGTATTTAGTCTGTTGTTAGGTGCCATTGAGTCAACTCTGATTCACAATGACCCTATATGTAACAGAACAAAACATCACCCTTTCCTGCACCATCCTCACAGTAATAAATATGTTGGAGTCCATTGCTGTAGCTGCTGTGTTAACCCGTTTCTGAGGATTCTTCTTTAATGCTGACCCTCTACTTTGTCAGTCATGATGTCTTGCTTCACGGATTTTCCCCTCCTAATTGGATATCTAAAGTAAGTGCTTATTGCTTCTAAGGAACATTTGGCTGTATTTCCTGCAAGACAGATTTGTTTGTTCTTCTATACGGTAGTTCATCATATTTTCAGCATCACAATTTAAATGTGATGATTTTTACTTTCGTCTTCCTTTTTTCATTGTATCTTTTGCATGGATGTGAGATGGTTGAAAATATCA